GACAACATCACTTCTTCTAGGGTTAAGTCCCTACAGTTTTTAAGTGACAACATTGCTTCTTCGAGGGTTAAGTCCCTAGAGTTTTTATGTGCAACATCACTTCTTCTAGGGTTAAGTCCCTACAGTTTTTAAGTGACAACATTGCTTCTTCGAGGGTTAAGTCCCTAGAGTTTTTATGTGCAACATCACTTCTTCTAGGGTTAAGTCCCTACAGTTTTTATGTGACAACTTTTTTCGATCTTAGAAGAATGTTGTAGTTACAATATTCAAGAGTTATTTCCAGAGCCTGTAAACAACCTGGTCTTTATTTGTGATATAAGGAGAATACGTTGAATGAATAACTAAATAAAGGTGAAATACGTTTCGAGAAAACTTCCTAAGTCTGACTATTCGAGAGAATTTGTAAAGGTCAGAAAAAAATTGATTTACTAGCAATGCTATTGATAAGGTGAATGGTAAGATTATTACTAATTCGACTGATTTCGACGCTTGTAAGCACTCCACTTGAGATATCGATATTACTGGAATCAATTTCAATTATATGATATTGAATATTGAGAAAATGGGTGGACGCTAATATTATTTGTAGATAAATTAGACGGTGATAAGCATATTACAGTGTTACATTGGCAGATGTTCCCATTTATCTGTTCGAAGCAATAAAAACATTGTAGGATGTTTGCAGTGATGAGCAGTGTTTGAGTAACTTTTACTAATTCTATGTTGAGGCCCTGTGTTGACTTTTGATTTTCGGAATGCGGAATGCTTTGGTTATTTTTAATTCATTGACATCTTCTTCGAAGTAGGGCTTTAGATATGATGGAGTTGTTAGAAACTTCCAAATTGGTAATAAGTGTGTTCAGTTTCAGGATATTGTTCCTAAACCATGTGGTTTCATGAACAGATTCTGCACGTTTTTCAACCATTTCTAAAACTAAAAAAAAAGTTTGTGTCACAATAATCATATCCTCGATGTACAATAAGTGAGAGGTTTTATTGAGAAGTTTAGAAGAATAAAAAAAAAAATCATACATTGTAATTAAATCTTGAAAAGTTAGCTGATGGAGTACAGCATGAAACACTGAAACATATGTAGTCCCTCTTTAGGACAGGTCCCTGTTTTAATATATATTTATTGTGTAAATAATTTAACGTTGTATTCCTTTAATTGTATATGTATATGTTTTACACAAGTTTCGTCTTAAATTATTCACTCCGTTGTTATTATCTGTCATCCAAGTGTAC